ATCTGAAAAAGAAAACACTGGTATAAGAATGAGATCAGAGATTCAAAGGAAGCATGTAGCAATTTTCGCTTTCTGTTCTCCTACCCAAACACTTCCTAGTTTTACAAGTGACAATACTGAAATATTTCATTTTTTAGAGCTGAAGCGTCTCGAGGTATTCTCAAAGGACGCACGGCGACACGTTGTTTCGTTCTCTATTGTTCAGCAGAACGGAAAATACAAAAAAATCGTTTAGACGATTTTTAAAATTTTATTCATTGAACTAAAATTTTTAATAAAAATATACAACGAAAAAAAGTCGTTGTTACCGTACATCGCTTAAAAATACCCCATAATCTTTTTTCTCAAATTTAATAAGTTCTTTGCTGTAACTCTCAATTCTAGTTCAACAGGTGACTGGAACTTGACCTCAAAATAAAAGTCAGAAAGGCTGATGTCTTTTGGTTCATTGGTGAGTTTTACTGATAAGGTTACGTTTGCCGTATGTGAAGCATCTAGCATTCACGCTTGGACTTGCAGAGAATGTATACCCGTGGATATTAGCGTTCGCGTCAGTTCGTTGCCAGAGCCAATCTAGCATCCTGTGAATGAGACGGAATGGCTGAGCCCCAATCCTCTGTGCGTCAAACAGGACCGAACTGATCCTCACTACATCCTGAAAGTCACCAACGACAAAGCGATCTTACACGGAGGATACTCACATTTGTGAAGACATCAACCCTTGAATGCATTTTCTCACTTCTATGTATTTGTATTTTCAGATCTTAGTCACTTTTTACACAGGAAGATACCTTAGAGTTGGTGCATATGTGGAAAAGATAACTAGCTTTGATTTCATAGACTGATTCAAGAAGAATAGTTCCACTCTATGACTATAGAAAAGTAGAATGGATTTCTTTCTTTTAGCTTCCTCTCTCATCCTCTAGAAAATTGCTGTGTACCTTGTAATCTTGTAAAATAAATTAGCTTCAAGTAGATCAGAAAACACACATACACGCCCAAAAAACCGCAGAGAAATCGTCTTTATATTACGTTAAAAAAAGGACGAAGCACATGTATCTTGTCATATAATAGTCACTTTTTTTTCGAAAACACCGTTATACTCAATACACATGTATACATGCTCAGTTCGTTATATTCATCAAGTCGAAAAATAATGTTTAGCTTAAAGAAACTCTAGCACATAAGACAAAAAAGATTATGTATCACATGAATAAATGTGACTTTCTTGAGCACAAAGTCATGTGATTGAGAAAAACTCCACTAGAACAGGCCTTCCTTCTATAACATTTGACTTAGACACTTAAAACCAAAAAGCTAATGTTCATTACAGAAACGTTCTTTACTACAACAGTAACAAAATATTTTTTATTAGATCTCAAAAGCTAGTTTAAGTGCCTTCAGAACGTCCACAGTAGAATTAGACAACCCATCAGCAAAATCCATGTTAAAAGAAAAGGCATGTGAGTTCATCTGATTTATTTTTATCACTTAAGCAACAAAAGGAAAACAATTAACAGCTTCGATACAACAGCAGAAAATAACAGTTCTTTTGTCCGTTTTCTTATAACGGTTTGTTTATAAAAGATGCGTTCTCATTCGTTATTTCATCAAGCAACAAAAGAATATTAAATGATAGATGGCGTACTGCTTTTTTTTCCACCTTTCATTATACCTGTTCACGCGCTAGATCTTCTATTTGCATTAACTAACTATTATATGCAATTTATCTCATTTAATAATGTAACTTTAATTAAAAAGGTTACTTTTTCGGCCGCCATATTGACCTCTTCCATATTTTTGCTTTTGGCAGCTAGCTTTTTGCATCTGCTGACGTTACCTGCTATTGGCAGCTGTTATTGGCAGGTAACTTCTTTCAAGCCAATTATCGGCCTTTCATTTTCCTGATTAATATATTGAATATCTTTCATGAAGACAGTTGTATTTTACTGATTAACTATAAACTCTCAAAAACCAGTTTACTGAATCTCGTGACAATGTTAGTTTTCACAACAAAATGCAAAAACCGAGTGAACACCTATACCAGGTGAAATAACCCATTTTTGATTATTTTCATCAAAAATTAAATAATTCATAACTCAGTCAAAATCCATCCAGCCTACTTCAGCATGCTAGCAAATACTCTATTTTAGTCCTTCATTCTAATGCTGTATGTAAAATCAATAAAAATATTCTTTTAGCTCCGAAGGTGAGAAAAATTGAATTTTAAGTTTTTCAGTAATTTTAAATTCTTCACTTGGTTTTTCTCAAAATTTTTCTGTTACACTGATATAGTATTACAGTCAATAGACAATTTGGTACCTAAGGAAGACTTTTGTCAGCAAAATGTTTTCTCCATCATGCGTTATTGAGCCACAATCTGTGGCAAGGACCTTAAAAATACTACCGGATAGCCCATGGTAAATGGCAGTCTCAGTATTTTGCTTATAATGTCTTTTTTTTCATTCCTTAGACTTTATTGTTTTTCCAAAAGATGCGCCGTCAAATTCTCTACACAACTTGATCACACTTGTCTCTAAGATGCGCATAATTCGAGCGTACAATGGAATTTGTTTTTGACTTTATTGTACATATTCTCATTCGTCGTTTGACGGTGATCCGAATGAACGTTTTGTTCCACCACTTTCATTGAGTTGGATGATAAAAGGAACAGCATCTACTCATTTTGTAGCGTTTGAAAAGCTCTATCAACCAGTATTAGGTGGACACTGCAAAATCAATCTTTAAGGCTTACATCGACTTTCTCCTCTTTGATGCTTTGCAAAATCCAGCTATTTGCATGTGCAAATTCGCAGCTCCTGGGAATAGGTATGTGACAGTTCTAGTTCCACTCATAGAGACATAATTGGAGATCGAGAAGACCGATTCACTTGGTACACTGCTTGCAGAAATGCAGAGATATTTACGAATAAGTGATGCCAGCTTGGGTACTGCTTTGCCGTACTCTTTCCAAAATGAACGGAATTCGAATTCATCCTTCATCATCATCATTTTCCAGGCTGGGAAATGCTGCATAGCGAGGCCAAAATAGCACTTTTTTAGCTCGGTCTTTTTTTATTTTGATGAGAGATTACATCTGTACCAGATTCAGCTGTAAAAGTTACCTGAAGCTTTCTTCATAAATTCACCTGCCGAACAATAACAGCTTTTTGGTCGTTTTGAGGTAAATTCTGAAATGGTAGATTTTGTCCTTTGTAAAACAAAATAGCTTAGAAAGTTAGTCCTTTTCATTATGTTGACTATCCTTCGTTTCATTTCCCCTTAACGTTTTATAAGATGCACGTAACGTACAGTGGAATTTGTTTTGGACTTTATTATACATATTTTGATTCGTCGTTTGACGGTAATCTCGAATATCACGTCCACAGCCCCTAAAACCTCTTTATTGATTTAAATCCTTTAGTGACACAGTCGCTCAGTCTCTGAGGAATGAAAAAACTTCAATGAAAAAACAAAATGAATAATTTCATTTTTTTCTCGTAATGTGATCGAATAGTTTTGTACTGATGCTGCTTTTTTCAATAGTTATGAAGTTTTTTCATTCCTCATAGAGTGAGCGACTGTGTCACTAAAGATTTCAAGGCCTAATTTTTTTCTCATTGCAGCTCTAGTCGTCTGCTATTTTTAACACAAAATTGCGGCCTTGAACTTTGAATTAGAATGAGCAGATGCATTTTGCTCTATGATTTCAGCAAGCGGAGGGTCCTTTTAAGAAAAATTCATTTTTTCATATGTTAAAGGGTCTTGGGAAACTTGGAAAAATGAGTCTTGAGAAAGTTTTGCAGAATTTTGCATATTCTTCTAGAACAAAATATTTACAAAATTCTGTATTAATTCGACTAATACAGGATTTTGTAAATATTTTAGAACTAGAAGAATATGCAGAATTTTCCAGAATTTTGCTTTTGTAACCAGTTTTTGTGACATACTTTTTTCTATAGTGACAATGAAAAATGAGAGAGACAGTCTTCTCTCGTCTTACGAGAGACTAACTAGGATCAATTGTGCTGTCGGCAAAAAACCATTAGCATTCCGGTATCAATAGTGTCGAAAATATTTGTTGTTACGCAACAAACTCAAATGACAGAGATGTCGCATAACTTTTCTTTATCGAAACATATAGAATTTGATGCGCTCTATCATTTGAGAACATTCTTAAGGTTTTGCGTTAAGGAATGGGATCAGACGTCCCACAAGTTGGACGAAATCGGCTGGAAAATGATGAAAAATGCACTTTTCCGCTATGAGGGTAAAATGGCTATAACGTTTTGTGTAACAAGGCTAAGGAATTGCGGTCTTCACCATTCGATTCAGTTTGCTGAGGTCTACAATATGAAGCCGATCTCGTCACTGGTACCTACACGTCTATATATTGTGGAAGGTTTTATATAGATTGAGCCGTCAGAGAAAAATAAACTATTATAGGCTATTTAAACATTTTACAAACGTCATACATTGAACCTTACAGTTATTTTTCTGTCACATGTGCTGTTGAAAAGAAAATAACTATCCTGTATAACCATTTCTTATCGACGCTTTTTCTTGCCGTGAATTCTTATTGATTTTTCAATTATTTATATCATCAAGGGCTATGTTCACCAGCTACAAGCGTTTCACGTCGAAGAAACTAAAAAACTTGCTTGCTTCCTCCGAAGATCTCGATAGGATAGAATTCCTGTTCAGAGCTTTCTATAATCGTCTGATCTAAAAAGCTATCGAACAAGATTTTCTGATCTGTAAAAATCATCCTCAAGAGATAAACTTTTCTTTTCGGCACTTCGCCTGGATCTGTCAATAGAACGACAAATTTGAAAGGCTAGTTGCCGTGTTCCCGAACGAAAGCTTTTTAAATATCGTATAAACGATTCGTTTCCGAAACATGTTTGGAAACATAATGCACCATGATCTTTTGTCTTCATCGGTAAGTGTAAGTGCGAATGTCATACCTGAATCTTCAAACTCCCGAGTGACTGGTATTTTCTTTCTGTTCTCATTTTGCGGCATCGGAATATTTTGTAAAATATCGTCTCCTTCCAAAACTTCGTCTATTAGTGTTAAATATCATTGTTAAATGTATAAATAAATAGGTTTAAGTAAACTTACCTTCTCCGCTTGCTTCGTCAGGAAAATCGTTGCTCCATTGATTTATGGCAGGTTTAATTGCATACACTTCCAAATCTTGATCGTCGCGTACAGGAACAAATGCTTCATCAATTTTCTTTCTTTTAACAGGAAATGTTGCGGCGTCTAAATTCATGGAACTGTTTGTTGTGGATTGAGTAGTATAATCTGCAAATACAACTGAAAACATCTTTGACTCGAATAAAGGTTCTTAGACGTCAGCAATGAGGTATTATTTACTCCTCTAATGGAAAATAAATGCATACCAGAGGCAAGAAATTAAAGGTTTAAAATTTATTGTTAGGACACTTAAGTTAAGGAAGAGCTTAAAAAACCTAACTTCTGCTAAACAAAGAGGAGCTTAGCTTTTAAGTGTTTACCTTTGTCGTCTGATTCCATATTTTTTGTTGATATATTTTCGGCGGAATTTATTATACCTAATGTAAAAAGAAAACTACTCTACCAATGTCTCTATCCATGTACTAACCTTTTCGTTTGCCAAGAGGTTGCGCCTGTGGCCACAAAGAAGTATTGGTCTGGCCAGTGTGAACGTGCGGATCTATATTCTCAGATGTATCTAAATAAGGGGGAAAATACAAGAATTATTTATTATTTAGGTCGGTTTTTTAACTGTTCCTCCATATTGGACAAAAACATCTCTACGGGAGACCCCTGATAATGATGGTACCTGACTGTTCTAATTGATTTTGGTGAATTGTCTGCACATTTGCAGCTGTTCTTTTTTGCTTCTCGTAACACAATATATAAGCATCTGTAATCTCACTTTGCACTTTACTCAATGATACATTGTAAATCTTATCATCATTGATCAAAACCCATTTTCCATCAGAGTTTTTAACATACACATAATAGTGTCCTTGATGACAACTGTTACCTTTATGTACAATCACGGCATATAGGTCGTAATCTAATCTGGGGAGATATCCTGGATATACATGTTCATCGATAATTTCTTTGATATTAATTCGATAAGGAATGGCGACTGGTGTCGAAATTTTTCTTAAGTCAAGCTCATAGTCAAAACGCTTTAGTACTATGACTATATTGTTTGGGAGGTTAGAAATAGAGAATTTTTTCCAGCGTAAGCTTTTCTGTTTACATCTGTCACAATCCGTTGCGTCATCGAGCTGTTCAACTTCGAAAAAATCCCTTAAACATCCAAGCAGAGTGGACTGCGTTATACTTATCCGTAGAAAATGGTCATTACTTTCACTTCTGGATACATAACCGCATGTCTTATTTTCACAAATACAATCCGTTACTAATTTCATATTGAATGAATGATCGATAATCGTTAAATCTTCTGATCCGCTGGTTGAATTTCTTAGCATGTTGGTAACTTGAAGACATGAAGAACATCGCTGTCCATCACTGATCATTCGGACGAGCAATAATTGAAGAAATTCATCTAGATCTTGCTGTACCGGGACAACAAATCTGTCATTTAATATTTTGAGCTTATCGATGAACGTAATTGGAAATACTGGCTTTGCACCTGGTTGGCGAACGTTATACATAAGGTTTCCTACCATGCATTGCATACACGAAGTTTCGTCTAAACCGAGCAATAGTACTGGCAAGAGTGACAATACTAAGGAAACGGAATGTGTTTAAGTAACCGATACACTCTTTTAGGACCTCAGTGCTCATCGTTGATTCTCTGCAAATCTATTTCAAAAGAAAAATAGCAGTTGCAGTATACATATTTACAGTAAGAACTCAAGGAGAAAAGATCTGAGTTCTTCTCTAATGGCACAATTTATTGTTCTACGCTACATTTTTACTACTTTCGATCACAATGCTAAGGTAGATCTGAAACTGAGAAAAATTAATCAGAAGATAGATACCAAATTTAGAATCGAAAAATCTTTTTTTATTATCCTGACTTGTCTTGCAAGTAATCTCTAATCAACGCTATCTTTGTACACGTAATTTAGACGTATCATAGATTCATCCTAATCAGCACTTTAAATCGCTTACTATGCGTAGTAGCACCAGTAGCATTTGGCCATAAAATTGTCAGGCTCAAAGTATTAGCTAAGAACTGTATCGATGAGTTCACATAGCAAGTGTTCCCGAGATTCTGTAAACCACGGAAATGTAAACGACAATCGAATCGAAGTCTGTGCAGCATCTCTAAATCAAATGAAATCGGAACAATTATTCCAAGCGCGACAGAGTAGTATGTATTCATACTTCTATCATCTGTTCCAACAGTTGCAGAGATGCGGTCTCTTGAGTCATTAAAATCATTCAGAAATACATTAGTATCGATTGTTTGTAAAATACTCGAAGAGCTATCTAATGGAGAAATTAGTATCTTACTGTTAATCGCTTCTTGTTTAGTAAGAATATAATAAATTGTCGAACCTTTTGTTTGCCGAGCAACTAACCCCATTCTATCTTCTACTTGCGAAGATACTTTCCTAATTGCTAATTCCTTTGAATCATTATCAACCGTGCCTACATGAAGAAAACGTTTTGAAAAAACATCAGTATTAACTTTTTATATTTCTTCGTCGGTCATCCGCATCGCCTTTTCGCTAGCACGATTAAAAGTCTCTTTTTCTGCATGAGAACAATCATAAAAAGCAAAAGCAGAATCTTAATGTCTATTTAAAAGATAAATTTCATTCACTTGGTGATTTACTCACCCGATACCGTTTCGTCAGCAGCAAATAATAGATCTGGTTTTCGTGTCGGCAGGTCAAAGTCTATCATGGACTCGGTATTCACTTTATTTGCACTTCCTTTCTGTGAACGTAACTGTGTGCGCAAAGTTGAAGGCTTCTCCTGAAATGTTGAAAATACAAATAACCACAAATAAACAATATAGAAAGAAAGATAACAAGTTCAATTTGCTAAACCGACCCAAAATTCCATTTTCGCCCGCTCTGTTCCATCCGTAAATCACCTGAAGACAAGGAGGCGCAGTTTCGGCTGACGGTTTTGTGGCAATCGTGTTATTTGGACAAGTGAGAAAGATTCTATCAGATTAACGGATGGATCACTCACGTTCAGCTTAATCTCTTTTGGTTTCGTAGTCGAAGGTGATGCACTAGGCGCATAAACAACTGTAGTCATTGCAGGACGAAATATTTGACTCTGTGAGTGTCCTTGTGAAACGGGTTCTTGATGCGCTGGTGCACTTGTAGCGAAAGCTAATTGCGGTATGGCAACAGTCGAACTCGGATTCTTTGGTGGTCGAAAGAGTGAAAGCAAATAGTTTCCGCTGGGCGGAACAGACTGAGAATGTATCGTCAGTGGCTTGTCGTTTTTTTTCAGTGTCATCGGTTTAGGTGGTCGAAACATTGACAAAAGATAATTATTCGATGAAGACATTGATGATCTGTTTTCTACATTCTGGATGTTACCAGTATTTAATTCTACACACAAAAAGCACTATTCAACCAATTCTGGCTAACAATTGCCTACAACACTAACCAGAAATCGCTCGTACTCCGCAATGAGTGACATTTTTATCCGAGCTTGTTACATTAATTCTGGATAATGTTTTGTTGCAAATTGAATCCAGAACCAGTAAAGTACACTCATTAGATCCTGTTTTTTGTATGCAGCGTTGTTTTAATTCAGCTTGATCTAGATTCGTTACATTTTCATTGTTAACTTCTATAATTCGATCGTTCACCTTTAGACCAGCTGCTTGAGCCGGTGTATTATCAAAAACATCACTTATGATGTGATAATCTCCAGTTTTTCCGATAGTTTTAAATGCACAGGTTGTGCTCTATGCAAGCTATTTTTTGAAAAAGGGTTTGTTTTAGTTTGTAAGATGTAGGGATCTGAATATCAGACTAAAGTTAGTAAAATGTATGGATTTCCGGTTAATTTTAGAAAGTGTACGAGTTTTGAATGACCTCGATCACTTTTCGGAACATCATTCTCAGAGAAGCCCCAATTCTACATTTAGCTTTCCCGTAAAATTACTAAAATTAAATTGCAAAATATATCAGTGTGGTGAATTATTAGTCTCATAAAGTTTCATTGCTTGAAACTGGGCGTTAGAGTCATCACTTTAAATAGACTGATCTATTTGAGAAATATTTTGTCGGAATCTTATATGATAACATAATCTAGGTATACTTGTCTTATAGTCAGTTCATTTTCTTCTAAATTAATAAATTACAGTTAGTGTACATATTCTGTATATATTATTTTGTAATATGCATATGTCATCTTACATTTTTATGTATGTGACTATAAATAATTCTCACAGAATAATAGCCATTTTTTTACTATCTTCGATCCTACAATTCTACTGTCTGATTCTTTTTTCGTATATGACCACACAACACGTTTTCTGTTTGACTGACAAAGTAAGGAAAAGACTGAATTATTGAATGTGCCCTAGCTCTAAATTAATTCTGTATTCTGCTCACTTCGCTACTTACAACTGGAAAAATTAAGGAGGCTCCGCTCCTAACAATAAATTTATGGATAATATAAGCAACTATTGAAATTTATATAAATTACCAAAAGATAGATTATTTCTTATTTCCTTGACTGTGAAGGAAAGGGTCTTATCGAGTTAAAATGCCAGTATGTATGTTGTATGTATGTGTGAAGTAGAGCGATGGAAATACTTTAAGATCGCATAATTCTTCTTCGCATTTTCTGACCCTTTTCCAAAAAATAGCTTGGCATAGAGTACAACTTATGCATTTAAAACTATCAGAAAAACTGGAGAAGGGTACTTTCAAATTTGTTAACCTTTTAATCTGGGAAGTTGCCAGAATAAACCTTCAGAGTGTACGAACATGGTAAAATTTGTTGCTCTTAATGAAGATTCTTGGAATCACATGCTTCTTCAGGAGAATACCCTGCACTTGTAAATTGTTACCTTGGATCACTGTCTTTGATTTATTTTAGTACGGAGTCTGCTCATTTTAGTTGAAGTATTTTTCTTTTCTGTTTGCTCTATTTCTTCATTTAAATTTTCTTGTGACACACAATACTTATATAAAGCGACTGTTTCTCTTAAAAAGCAAAATATACGGAAGGAAATATAGATCAAAGAGAAACTAAAAACAAATCAATCAGAGAGTTGCACTGTTCGAAGTCTTAGTTGATTCTCTTGAATGATTTGTCGCGAAGAAACACTAATTTTTTATATGTCCATTGAGGCAAACGTTCCTTCTTCGTTAACTATTGATTTAATGGGAGTTATTAAAGATGATCCAAGACTGGAATATTCCAATCTAACTGAGCATATATTAAATGAAATAGAGAATCAATTTTGTGTGTTATTTTGTGAACAGGATAAAGACTTTTGTCCCGAACCTGTGATATTGCTATTCGTACAATGAAAAACAACTCCAAACGAAAGCAAGTAAAAAAAATTACATTAGAGACATTTACTAAAACAACATTTGAATTAAGAACCACTAATTTATCATCCGTTACCACAGCGCCATCATCGCCGTTTTATGTACTATTGTCCGTATTCCACCATCTCGAGTAAAATTATTATCACGTCATAATTATCAATCTCTTACAGCATTTACTTATCAATAGTCTCCCCCTACACCTTTATCGCCACCTTTACCCGCTTCACAACGTATTACCTATCGTTCGAGCGAATCATCGACAAGTTCGCCATTTAAATGGGGTATTCCAAAAATAAGAAAACGAAAAGCTACTGAACGAGATTCAATTGATGAATATATTGAAAGCAAATACCAAGCCATCGAATCGACTAGTTTATCACCAAGGTCCCCAATTAAATACATGTTACGCCCCAGAAAGCCAATGGAACAGCTTGACGACTATTTTGCCGATTTATCGAATCCATCTGAAGATGACGACCACAACATACTCCCGCAAGCGTCACCAAGGAACACACATCTAAACAAAGAAGACAATGATCGTATTATGGCTTATTGGAAATTAAAACACAGTATGCCTGACCACGCGTTGAATGACTTACATCAAATTCACACGTCTGTACCAAGTGTCTGGTCGATAAGAAATATACGCCGGAGACTAAACAACAACATTCATGTGAAGAATACAGAATTTGGCTCATATATTACGATGGAAGATGCTACTAAAACTTTAATTCATATAAATGGCTCAATAATGACAAAAATACGAAGAACTATGACAATTCGGTTATCTATTGACAGGACACAAATAGGCGAAAAATTAAAACTTCTTGTTCTATGTATTAGCTGTACACAATTTAATTCAACGCAACAAATTTCGTCCAAATTATTACCAATTGGATTATTTAAAATTGATATAAAAGATTATGAAACAGTCAAAAAAGTTATACCCAATGAAATTATTCTTAGTATAATTCAAGAAAGCAAATTAATTGTTAATGGTGAAGAATTTTCGATTAAGTTCAAGTGAGTACTCTTTATTTATTGCGTATGCATGAAGAAACGCGTCGAGTATTCTTAGGGATGAGCATATAAATTTTAATTTTAGATTGGCATGTGACTACAAGATGTTACTGATTTTATTTGGGCTCAATGCAGTTAGCGGTACATACGTCTGTCCATGGTGTAAAGTAACAACGGCAACTATTAATCAATTAGGAAGTTTTTCTGCATTTGGCAGGAGTAAAGGAGCAAGAAATATGGAAGAGGCAAAAGAAGAGTTCAAAAACTATTGAGAGTTTTGTTTTGCTGCATACTCCGACTCTAATTAAATAATGTCATTTTTGTAACAACGACTGATATTATTACTTCGACCGATCACATCCCGAAGAAAAGACCGATAAGATGTGATCCGTCAAGTTTCGTGCTAACGAGGTAACCTATCCAAGTGATACCTTCCGATTTCACTCGTTCATACGCCAATCGATAGAGGATATTGAGGTAGTAAAAAGCCTAAAAGGATTCGGGCCGTTGACTCTTAAAGATCCGGTCTTCTGGAAAACCAGTTTTTAGAATCTTTAAAAAATAACCAAAACCTTTGCTTGATGAGGCACAATTGTAGCTCATGCATTTCTGATTAAAATGAGACATCTCCCAGCTCTACATCACCTTTCTTTGCAAAGTTATAGAATTTACCAGAAAAGCCTTAAATGAATTTATTCCTTATTTCTGTAGCCTTGAGCTGACAATGAGCATTTAGGGCTTTTCTTGTAAATTCTATCGCTTTGCAAAGAAAGGTCCTGTAGAGCTGGGAAATGTCTCATTTTAATCAGAAATGCACGAGCTACAATTATGCCTCATCAAGAAAAGCTTTTGGTTATTGTTTAAAGATTTGCTCTCAAGAAGTGAGCTATGAAATAATCAATCTAAGACGTTGAAACGCGGTGCGATCGGTCAAATAAACTTGTTCCAACCCGTTTCTTATTCGAACGCGTTAGAACGTGTACGATACAGAGGAGGTTCCAACCCGTTCAGAAAGCTTCATCAAGTGTGATAGAATTTTAACTGGAACGCGTTGGAACAAGTTCATTTGACCGATTTCATCACGTTGTAACACGTTAGAATGTCATTTTCTGCCAATTGTCCTAGCTCCTTCCAAAGCTGAGAAAACTGAATTACAAAATTACCATTAGAATTAGCCCGTTGGTACTTAAAATTGCATTTTCTCCATCAAAGGCTGAAGCTTTCTGAACGGGTTGGAACCTGGATATGGATATTTTTTGAATAACATTCGATAGGAACAAGATAGAGACCTGCGGTCTTCGCTGATTGAAAGACAAATGATTTGGCTACAAAATCATGTCAAATTTGATTGGTCCAGCAATTGACCAATC